ACATATTGTACTTTCAGTAAAAAGATATTTCTCTCTATAAAATTTCCTTTTTGAAAGAGCCAGTTGGAACCCTTCCAGATAAACAGATTTGGTTTGCAAAATATTTTGGGAAAAAGTCACTATTTCAACAAACTTCCTGTGACGTCCTGGTGGTGGTGGCACTCAAGCTCTGGGTTCACGTCACTGGAGTGGCTTCACCTCCTTCCCTTTCCCCACGGGGGAGGTATTTGCTGGCTACTGGCATTGGAAAGAGGGGAAAGGAGAAAGAGCATCTCTCCCCCTCTCCCAGAGTGGGCTCCTGGCACCCATTTGCCACCTTAGCCGCCCGCCTCAGGAGATGGGCGATGGAGAGGAGGTCCATCAAAAGGGATCTTCCCTGGCTGCTAGCAAAATGTTCACAACCTGGCTCGTGGTGGGGAAACTGTACTCCAGGGCTGGGGAGGAGGGCTCTCACACATTCAGGAGAAGTGCTGGAGTCGGGGAGCTTGGCAGCCCCAGCCATGCTGATTGGAGATATACCCGCTGCCAGCTCCCACACTGCCCGTGCTGCCTGCGCTGCTCACGCTGCCCACCGGCGTGTTGGCGCGACTCACCCCCACTACTCCGCTGGCCAGGGGGAGGCAGAAGTGGTGCTGGTAGGAAAGGTGCCAAGCTCAGGCAGCACTTGCTCAACATGCCAGGGAACGTATTTTGGGATGGAGAGGTCAGGTGGTTAATCAAGTGGAAACGGGATGATATGCTGTTAAAATGTCATATACTTGCTCTGCAAGCACTCTGGGTTAAGGAAAGATGGGGAGATAGAGATGTGTCCAAAGAGAACATAAAAATATTGGTATTTAGTGTATTGCACAATGAAAAGAGTTGGCGAGTCCCTACTCTTGAGAGCTTGTTTATCTGTTTTGGCAGGGAGCTATGAGCACGTCACTCTGGATTCTCAAAATGTTCTGAAAACTGCATTTTGCAAAGGCAGAATGACAGCCCCGTTGAAGCCTGCTCTGAAATGCTGCTCTGTGAACATTTCTAACTCTATTAACCTACGGCCTATTAAGCTGATTTAAAAGTGGAAATATTAAAAATCAGGGCAGGATACAGCCGTAGTAGGAACAAAGCCATTTTAATTCCCTGGGCTTATATGTCGCCCTTGACTCTACTCCTGTGTTTCACCGGTTCATGGGAACCCTGATAAACTTGGGCTGTTTTTTGTGGAATGAGATTACGATAGCAAGGACCTTGAAATGTCTCTTAAACAAAGCGTATTGCACCTGGAGGAAGACAAAAGGCTGGCTTGTAACAAAATAATCTCTCAGTCGTTATGTTTCATGCTAATTCAAAGAGCTGATTTTTAAATGATCTCTCTTGCTTTGCTATTGGTGCTAATTCTACTGCTTCACTTAAAGATCTGTCAGCAATTTTATTACAGCCTCTTGTTTCGAGAGATTTTAGACTTGGTCGTAAAAGCATGGTCCCAGCTGAAACTTAACATATAAGGTTACAAAATTAAAAAAAAAAAAAAGCAAGCTAGAAAACAGATATTTTTAAGGCTATAAAAGCATAGAACGAACAAGAAGCATGTAGCATGTAGCTAAAAGTGATTACAATGATTATTTATTTTCCCTAGACAGAAGAAATAGTTTTATTTTATTCATTTTTTTTAACCTATGGGTAATCAATAAGTCACCAGTTGGAAACATTGTTTGTGCTAATTTTGGAAAAAAAAATATTTAATTGCACATGGTTTTGGATGATATTCCTAGCCCCACTACTTAGAAATTTATTTATGCAATTTATTAAATCAATATCAGTGACTCCAAAAGAATACCTTCATGGCCTGATGACTTACACATTTGAAATATTTCTATTGGCAATAAAAAAAAAATTATACTGTAAGGGAACCATATAAATTTGTATTTATGTAAAACTCCTGAATTACAGATCTACCTACTCTGGTTAACATTAACCACTGTAAAATTAGTATTTAGTATCTTGTTCAGGTCGGTGTTAAAAGAAACTCAACCATAATCATAGTTAGATAGATCTATTTATAGATATTATATATATAAACATAAATGCTCATCAAGGGTCTTACCTAAACTTTCCCAAACAACACTTCAGCACAGCTTACATGGCTCTGTCTATTTTCTTTTCCCCTCTGTACAAAGGAAGGGGTGAGTTAAGGTTGAAGTGTTGGCCGGGTTTGGAGCTTTAACTGAATATCCTTAGTCTGTGCATGTAGGTCAAATCCTTTGACATTTTACGCTTGGTACTGGGACAAAGTAATCTTTCAACTTAAACCATGTGTGATGTGGTGGAAGCTTTTTCTTCCCTTCTGATCCCCTTTGGTCTGTGAATCGGCTATGGTTAGATCTCTTAAATGAACAGGTGTACTTTCTCCCTCCCTGTGATATGAAAGAAGCATAAAACTCGATTATAGCAATTTATGGTCTCTTAACTTGCTTGGACTTGTATCCATGACACAAGCAGCTTTATGCTCAAATTCAAGACTTGGTAAAATAGGAAGTTAAGATTAACCTCAATCCTTTTTATAGATGAAAACCTCAACAAATAAACAGTGGTTTAGTGGCATGGCAACCTGCCCCTTTAAATCCAAGAACTAGTCTGAGATGTCTATTTTGAGTTGGTTTTGTTTTTTAACAGAAGATAATTGGACTTGGATGAATACAGTAGCCCGTGATTCATTACTGGTGTGAGTTAAAACAAAGTTTAATGCTACTACTTGGAAGTTAGCAATGTATGGGGTTTTATGCCTTATTTTACGCCTATATAAAAAGCATTCTGTGCTCTCTTCAGTGAGAGAGTTTCAACAAAAGTGTTTCAGGATGCAAAGCTGCGCGGATAGGTATAGCGATGCTATGGAGCAGGTCAGAAGTGTTTTTGTTTTGGAGGCCTGTGTTCTGAAATGTAGCTGTTTATTAAAAATGGAAATTTAAATATGTCAGCTCTCTAGAGGTCACATAAAAGATCAGTCCAAAAACCAACCCAAAAACTTTGAACTGAGGAAAAAATGATGGTGGTGGAGCACCTTCACACCCTAGCCCTTTTCCCCTGCTGTGATAGCATGACCCTGAAAAGACGATCCCTAGAAATTAAAAGGCGTCTGCAGCAGAGACAGTCCCAAATGAGGGAGGCTTCAGTCTGGGGCTTATTTTACTGATAGAGACTGCAAGCCTCAACAAATTGTTCAACACACACATTTTGGAGGCAGAGGGAAAGGGGAACGAGGAAAAAGCAGCCCAGTAGGTGAAGAGGAGGTATCAATGAGGCAATGGTAGCAGTTTGATTGCTATAGTTTTCTGAGCTACGTCCACAGGTAAAATGCATTAAAATCTTGTTTGCAAAGAGCAAAGCAGAGCAACGTACTATTTCTGGAGAGAGCAGCTGAATCCCTGGCCGAGCGTGAAAAGACTACTGCTCTCAAGTCGTACGAGTGAGGGACTTCCACAGGGAGCCAGGGAAGAGGGATACTCGACATTAAACCTGATACTCTGCTAAGCATATAGTGTTCCCAAGAAGCTGAAGAATGCAAGTCTGCGACCGATACCTCCACCCACGTAGCTGCTGGCTGCTGAGCAGCCATAATAATATGTGTGTTTTCTTTTACGGGAACAGAGCTGTGCGCAAGACAAACCCAATGTGGTTTGCTCTGCAAATCAGAAAATGAAGTGAGGGGACTGCCAGGGGCTGGGAGAGGTGCAGGATTGGATCTTTCACCTGAGCTGAGCTGGCATGGCTCCCTGGAGGGAAGGAGCTGGGTGGTCCTTCCAACTGTATTTTGGCCCACCTCTTTCTACAGTACAGTACATGACAATGTCTTGATTTTTTTCCCATGCTTCTCAGAAATGCCTGCTTCTGCTCACAGCAAAGTCAAGTTCAGTTTTGCAGTAGATGCCACTAACCCAAAGAACTTCCTACCCCTGGGAATAAAAGGATATAACAAGTGTTTGCCTTAGGTGAGTGATAACCTTTTCTACACGCAACAAAGAGTACTCTGGTTTTAAAAATAAATGCCAAAAAAAGAACTTACTCTGATTTGCGGTAACTATTCCTCCCCAAAACCCCAGCAGAAAACCCCGACTAAGGTCATTTCATTCTGGCTGGAAGAATAGAGGAAAACTCCATTAGGAACAGTGCTCGCTAAAACTAATACTGTCCTGCAACCTCCCCTGGGCACATCTCACTATGAATCTGCATTTTGATACACATTTTGCAGAACATGTATCAGCTGACAGTTTAGACCTGATTCACTGCTCACTGTGTTCCAGCTGATCCTAGGGACACAGTTGGTTTTAGCAGGGACAGACTCAGCTCTAGCAGTGGCAGACAAGTTTTCAACCTAGATGTCTTGGTTTCACTGGCATCATCTGAGCCTGAGCCTCAGAGGAAAGCAGACTCCCGAGTCACTGTTTTGCAGGTTTTCATTCAGATAAAACCCACTGGATAACCACCAGCCACAGAAACACTCTCAAACCAGCCTGCCCATATTAATGTCTTAGCACTAAGAGGTTGTCTTCAGGGGACAAAGCACTTTGCAAAGCTTTCTTTGCGGCTGCCTTCCTGGGAAAGGTCAAAGCAAGGCCTTGACGTCTTTGCTCTCACACTCAAGCACCCAATGTAATTGATAAATTTCCATTGGGAAATACACCTACACGTAGAAAAAGGCCTGGCATAATGCATCTTTGCAAGAAAACAACAAGCTTTCAAGATGTCACGGTTCTAGCACAGGTGAGGTTAATACCATGAGCTGTACTGATGACAAAAAGACAAGACAGTACGGACCCCTTAAAATCTGTCAGGTCTTTAGAAATACAGATATATATTAGGAGGCCCCTCCTTTCACTCATTAAAGGCTCTCACTCATTAAAGGTGGCCAAGGAGAGTCCAGAAGAGATGGAGGGACAGTGGGGCAGCGCCTGCAAGCCCCCATGCTCCACAGGCTGGTGGGGTGGATGTGGGCGAGCAGGGGGAGGATTTCAGGTACTTACCCTGAATCTGACTCTGAGGCTGAGGGTTAAAAGCAGTGGTGTGGTTCAAGGATGATCGTGGGTTGGGTGTGGGGGCTGGGTGGTGTGGGCTGACCCTCATGGCTGTACGACGCAACTGCTCCAGTTCACTCAGGCGCTCTGAAAAGGACAAGCTCCCGGGCTTTGTCTGCTCATCTATTTTCTGACGATGTCCTATTGTGGGAGGGGGGGGAAAAAGATCAGAAAATCTCACTGATACATGAGGTCTGTTGACTTATTTTCTTTTTAAAAAATCTTTTTTTTTTTTTTTTTAACCACTGGCAAAGTAACTAACCAGCTAGCGGCCATCTGAAATTAAATTGAAAACACCTCTCTGCAAGAACAGGAGACACAAGCAAGTCATGCATTGTAACCATATCATGGGGCAGCCTGAGACATGGCCTAGTCTGATGAGCCAGATCCACTGAAAACTGCAGTGCCTTCTTACACCTCGCACTGGGAGAGAAGGCACTTCTAAAAGGAGGACCGTCTGCGGGGATGCAAAGTGAGGAAACATTGAGTGGTCCCTGTGCTAAACCTGCACTGGAATAATTCCTCAAAAATTCATTCCCGGATTGTCATAAAATTCCATAATTGGACAAGTACTGTGGGGCTATAAAATAACAAACCCAAACAAATCCCATTTTTGGATCCTTTTGCAGTGGATTTACACACAGAAATATGAAAGAAACACCAGAAGCTGGCAGAATTGAAACTGGAATAATGAAGTCTCTCTTAGTGGCATTGGGAGCTTCAGAAACATGAGGTCCCACCAGACATCCAGCTATGAGAGAGTAGATGCTGACATTACAGCATTGGCCAGTGGTCACGGCCACGTGGGAGTTAGAGGGTCCAGCACTCCCCAGAGCAGACCTTGGAGCACGATCCCCATGAAGCTCTGGTGCTGCAGCCCACGGGGCTGGGAGGCAACAGGGAAGGTGCTGTAGAGGCCCAACTCCAGAACAGCATTGGAGCACATCCAGATTCATCTGGAAGGGCAGAGACATATCTCATCACGGGCAGGACTGGTTTCAAGATAAGCCTTAGCTAGCAGCAGTGAACAGGACTAAGGTAATGCATTTCTGTTGCCTGTAGCTGCTCTCTGCTCCGGAATCTTTTGTGTGTCAACCTGTAACCATAAAGACACCACACAGAGCATACAAGAGGGACATCTCGTCTGCTGGAGCACTTGTTCTCTGGTAGGCACTATGAAAGCATAAATTTTAAATCCTTTTTCCACCTTCTTAAGAGCTATCTTATTGTCACAACTTTGCAAACCACTTTTGTGTCCGTGGTTTCCAATCTTATGAGATATCCTTCAAAAGTGGGGTATCTTATGCTGGAAGGCTGCTGACATCACACTTTGAGGCTGAAATGGAAACCTCCCTAGCAGACTCGTGTTTGGTGAAATGTCTGAAATAGGATGGTTCAGCCATATTCCCAACCAGGCCGAATCAATACTTTCTTCATTTCCCCCCACCCCTCAATAAGGCTTTTTCTTCTTAAAGATCACAGAAAACAGCAGAAAGCCCAAAAGCAGACTCTGGCACACAAGTTGTCCTTTCAAAGACACTCTTTCCAAATGGAGGGCAATGAGTCTATGAGGACGTACCCTGACCCCACCTGTATTTACTCAATGGACTAGGATCCCAGCTCCAAAATGCCATTTTCATGCCTTCTTCTGGGGGACCTTCTTGTGGAACAGTGGATGTGATCATCCCTCCTTTAACCCCAAACCCAATCCCATTTCTGCATGTTGCATTTGTCTCAGGAAATTAGCTGCTTCATGAATCTTTGTGGCTTATGCCTTCCCCTTCTTCCCATAGGACACTGTTACCCTGATGGGACTGCATGTCAAATCTCTAGCCCAGAGGTCAAACACTTTTTTTTTCTACTTGTTCCTTTAAAGAAGGTGGCATTATCCTTGGTTTCTGCTGAACACCATAGTTTGCTGTCTATCTTCTCATGATTTTCATTTTCCTGTCTTGAAGAGTTGCCTTCTGCAGATTTCACACACAGAATCACACAGAATTGTCTAGGTTGGAAAGGACCCTGGAGATCATCTAGTCCAACCGTTCTCCTAACCCAATTCCCACCTACAGCATATCCTTAAGCTCCAAATCGACCCTACTCTTGAACACCTCCAGGGATGGGGACTCCACCACCTCCCTGGGCAGCCCATTCCAATGCCTAACAACTCGTTCTGTAAAGAAATGCTTCCTAATATCTAGTCTGAAGTTTCCCTGGCACAACTTGAGGCCATTCCCTCTTGTCCTGTCGCTTTCTACTAGGCTAAAGAGGCTCAAACCCAGCTCTCCGCAGCTTCCTTTCTGGTAGTTGTAGAGAGTGATACAGTCTCCCCTCAGCCTCCTCTTCTTCAGACTAAACAATCCCAGTTCCCTCGGCCACTCCTCATAGGATATGGGTTCCAGACCCTTCACCAGTTTCGTTGCCCTTCTCTGGACACGCTCGAGTCATTCAATGTCCTTTTTGTAGTGAGGGGCCCAAAACTGAACACAGGAATCGAGGGGCGGCCTCACCAGTGCCAAGTACAGGGGTCAGATCCCTTCCCTGTCCCTGCTGGCCACGCTATTGCTGACACAAGCCAGGATGCCATTGGCCTTCTTGGCCACCTGGGCACACTGCTGGCTCCTGTTCAGCTGGCTGTCAATCACCCCCCAGGTCCCTCTCTGACTGGCAGCTCTCCAGCCACTCCTCCCCAAGCCTGTAGCGCTGCTGGGGGTTGTTGTGGCCTTATTGAAATTTGGCCTTATTGAAACTCCTGCAGTTGGCCTCAGCCCATCACTCCAGTCTCCAGTCTATCCAGATCTCTCTGCAGATTTCTTTGCATCTCCATCCTCCTGTCAAGGAGATGGCCAGTGCTGTTCCTATGGTTAGTCCTCTCTCAACTCACAGCTACAGCATTGAAACAGATTGGCACAAAACTGCTGAAAATAACCCACCATGCCCTATTCCAAATATCCCCATAGTATTTAATACATAAACATTCATAAACATCCAGCTTCCAATTTTGAGTATCAGTGAATAAGCAGCAAAGGTCTCTGAAGAGCTCTGTATGCCCCTTACTTTACAGAGAACTCTTTCAAGCCACCCTAACAGCTCAATCAAGACACAGGACGGTTTTATGCACTAAAAGCAAAATGTGCATTTAAAAGCAGTTCCCAGTAGCTGCATTTCTAAAATTAAATTTTATAACTTGTATTATGGTTCCAAATCGCAGTGGCTCGGCATTTCTTCCTGTTGCCAGGCCCTTTGGCACAGCTTGAACTGTCTCAGATTCCACACTGTGCTGTAAATTATCCCAAGAGAGGGGGGAAAAAAATTAAAATATAAAAAGACATATTATATAGTAGTGGTTTCATCATTAAAGAGACCCATTAGGGCTTAAAAAAAAAAAAAAAGGAAGGAGGGGAGAAGCAAAGAAACATGAAAAAGACTTTTATCTGACATTCTGGTTGGTCAAGAGCAAATGCTTCATTTGTCAGCAGTGCAAAGCTGGATGCTGCCTCAAGCTTTGGGCTCCTGACCCTGGGCTTGAACACAAACACGCAGAGTCATACAAGATGTGTAAAATACCTCATACATTTGGATTATTTTAAGCTTCAGCAGGATGAACCTAGGGCTTGCAGAGCCAAGAGCCAGATCCTTCCAAATCCATCCCCCTGACGTAATTTATTCCTAATTTCAAATTTCGCTCAGACATCTTCTGCTTTTAAGTGAGTGCACCAATACCAAGTTTGACCCCATGCTGCCCTACCTTCTCCTCCTACCTCCCTGGTGCTGCCCTCCTGGCATCTGGAGTTTTGCCTGCCTGGCACAAAACCAAGCATCCCAGCAGCTCAAGCACGTGCACTAACAGCTTCACATGGAGGTGAGCGGTTCCTCTGAAGCCAACAGGACAAGGGCTGCATTAAGGCTGCTGAGGCAGGAATTAACTTTCCTGCTTTGAATCTAGCTCAGGCACTAAATTTGTGTTGAGCTGGCACACAACACAGGGCAGGGCAGACAAAACCAAGCTCGCTCTGAACAAACCAGCGAGCAGGTGGCGAGCAGGAAAAATTAACCCAGGCACAGCATCTTCCTGAGGTCCCTGTAGGGCAACCGCTTCCCAGGTCAGCTCCCTTCGAGCTGACAGGACTATCTCTGCCTGTCTCTGCACCATGCATCCACCAAGTGAAACTCCTGGACCCCCCAACCCAGCTCTCCACTGCCCCAGATCGTCCTGCTGAATTTTGGGCATTGAAGGGGGGTGTTTTGGCTAGCAGCCTCCTTCATGGGACCTCCTCTATAGCCTGGGTGAACCAGTGGTACATTGGCACACCCAAGATCTCTCATCCCTTCGGCTTGTGGAAATTGCACTCTTGTCAGTGCATTCAGGGAAGAAAGACCAGCACCAACAGGTTCCTTATCAAGGGAACTGCTGTTGTTTTCATCCATACATTGTCATTTCTGACAGGAACTACCTAGAATCCATGCCAGGCAATTGTCAATTCAATATGTAGCTCCAAAAGTGGCTCTTTTTTTTTTTGACTCCCAATCAGAAGAGCTATTTAACCCTTTCTCCCTTGCTGACTGCTGCAGGTAGTAACACAGAACCTGTTTTGCATGAAAGTCTGCAGGAGGGAAGTGAAGAACTATGTCAGAAAAATATAGCAAATATAAATGCTTTTCCCAAGCCACTATAAATGCACAGGCAGAGCTTTGCTAGGGTGACTTGTATTTTCATGTTTATTAGCTTTACTTTGAAGTTGTCCTCTAAACACCTTGCTTAAAGAGCAGGCAAGTTATCCTCAGTTCACCCCCGTAAAGCCCAGGACTACTATTATCCCACTTTTATAGGTGGAAAACTGAATGACAGAGAAATGAGGTGACTTGCCTGTGGTCAGGCAATGACCCTGTGGCCGACGCTCGCCTCCCAGCTCAGTGTGGTGACCACAAGCCCAGGCTTCCCCTTTCCAGGAGAGCAGTGTGATGCAGGATGAAAAAGAGCAGCAAAAAGGTGCTTGAAAACTGATGCGGCTCTGCTGACCTGGCAGTTTGGCCACAAGGATCTGACACTTTTGCAAATCAGATGGGACTTTATGGAAGTCAATCAAACATCTAGCTGTTAAATGAAGAAGGCCTTGGCCCAGAGCTCACAGAGACAGCTGGCT